TTGACCCCAACCACACATCCGCCGCAGGCGTTCCGAGAGGGGTTGCTCAGGGTCTTATTCGCAGCTATTCCCCAAGCTCAAGGCCAATGCTGCTCCGCCCCTCATCCCTTCCCAAGGGCCTGGTAGTGGCAATGGAACAAACTCGAGCTTCAATATTGCTTACTCTGCTTGGCCTGGTCACTTTTTTTTTCGAGAGCCTCAGTTTCCCCGCCTGTACATTGGGAGCAAGGATCTGCCACAGGTTTGCTGTGAGGATTAAAGTGAAGAATGATGGGATGTTCCACAGCATTGAGTATCTAGTAGCTCAGAAGGGTTCAACCAACCCACGCCCCTCTCCAATTCCCCCTCTCTTCCCCGGTGGGTAGCGGGTTCCTCTGGCCTGGTTGATCAATTTCCCGCGGAGTCGCCTCTGCCCAAGCTAGAAGACGGCGCCCAGTCAGGGAGCTTGCGGTAGGCAGAGAGCACGCAGGCCGGTGAGAGAGTCGGGTGTTTTCTTTCCAGCCACCTCCCCTTTACCCCCCAAATCGTGCGGAAGCCTGCAAGAGCGGCTGCGACGTGGCCCTGGAGCCTGCGCCGCCACCGCGCAGAGGAGGACGCACAAATTGTATTTCAGCGCCAGGTCCTTCCGGGTTAATGAGCTGACACCATGATTAAAGCTGACCATTTGTAATGTGTCTCGACCCCGCCACCGAGCCCTGAAGAGGTTAATGCGGTGACGGAGGCCGGCACCTGCCCCTCGCCCGGCCGTCCGGTCTTGTGGCGCACAGCTTCTGGCCCCCGCCTCCTCGCCTGCCCCTGCTCCGGCTGCGCCATGGACTCCTAATCAATTAGCCCATTAACGAGCCCTTCGAGGAGTTAAGTAGGGAGAGGTTCTGCCACGGGCAGGGCTGCAGTCGCTAACTCACCGCGGCTAATGATATTATAAGCGCTCTACTCAATAACCCGGGCGCAGCGCGGGCGAGGAGGGAACTGCACCGTCATGGTGCAGCGTCTGGACATTTGTGGGGACTGATTCCAGAGTCTCCTCTCACCCTTGGCAGCATTTGGGGATATCCTAAGGGCAGGGCTTCCGGGATTTCTTGATCGATCGGTCCGAGGCCGCAGACCCAGGAGGTGGGGTTGCCTGAGCACCTTGGGGCCTTGCCTCACCTTCGTTTCCTTGAAGCCTGTGTAGACAACTGTGCCCCTGGACTGCTTTGCCTCCAGCGGGCTGATTCTAGATGCGGTTACAGCTGATCTGGGATTAAAAGAGGCGAGAGCCAGGGCTCAGAGGGGGCTGTGAGGAGAAGGGAGAGAACCAGGTTTACTGAGCGACTACCGTGCGTGCCGCAGGCCCGGCTAGGAGCTGAGCACTTTGACCGCATACAGCTTCTACGAGGTAGGCATTACTTTCTCCAATTTTAGGAACAAGAAAACCGAGGCTCAGAAAGTTTAAGTATCCTGTTCAAAGTCACCCAGCCGAGATGTGAATGGACTTTGCCCAACTCTAAAACCATGTCCCTGCCCTCAACTCCTTCTCTCCTTTCGGGGGAGCAAAGCGCTTCTATTTCTGTACCAATTCCGTGACCTCCAATATTTGCAACACACAAAAAGCCCCAAGAGAATCACCTATGGAACAGAACAGGAGGACAGGCGTGGCCTATTCAGCAAAGGTCTGCAGAGTACCTCCTATGAGCTCCTCGGCTTTCGGGCGCGTTTCCATCTCTACTTAAGGCGATTCTCAGGACAGGAGAAGGGGAGATGCTAAAGAGACGTTCATTTCACCTATGAGGGCAGCGAGGCTCTGACTGGGGCTGGAATTGTCCAAGTTCACGCAGCGTGTAAATTATGGTGCTGGGACTCGAACCAGGATTTCATGAAATAAGATCTAGGGCTCCCCCCTCCCACCAACGATCATAATCACGCAGCCCCGTTGGACCTGTGACAGGGGTGGGGTCTGTAGGCGAGGAAGGGCAGAAGTTATCTGCTCCTGGGCTCCCAGCTAAGCTCCCCTGAATAGCATCAGTTCCAAGGCGCATGCTCCTAAACTCCCCACTCTCCTGCGCTAGGAGCGTTGGTCTGGGGCCTCCCAGCCCTGCTCGCTTTCCCCAACGAGAAGAGGTGGGAGGCTGGGGGAGGATCGGGGAGCAGCAGCCTGTGCTAGCTCCTCCGAGGGTGTGAGTACCCGTCGCCTGAGGGAGGCGTCGGGCCACTCCGGCTCAGAGACCCGCGCTGTCTCTGTCGCTCGAGAAGGCCGGAGTCCGAGCGGTCAGAGCCGCCAAGGCCAAGAACCCGGGCTGGAATCTATGCTGTTTTCCGCCCCGTCTGTCCTTGGTTGGACACAGCCGATGCCCGCCCGGCTCTCGATGTGCTCCGGGGCTCACAGGCGCTGTTTGCCCGGCCTGGGCTTTTTGAAATTTCCGGGGCCGCTCGGCGGCGCTGCGATTGGCGGCGTCCCGGTAACCTCTATGCAAATGAGGCCGCGCTACCTCCGCGCCGCGGGAGACCCGGCGAGCTGGCC